TCCACCAGCGTGCACCAGTGAGTTGCAGATCTAGATCTAGCCTAGCCAGAGCAAAAGTTAATTCGGTTTCTCCCCTCGCAGATGCATTAGCGCCGCTAATCCGCCCGTGATTGTGCACTGCTCGGCCGGCATTGGACGCACTGGCGTGCTCATACTAATGGACACGGCCCTGGCGCTGATGGAGGCGCGCGAGCCTGTCTATCCGCTGGACATAGTGCGCACCATGCGCGATCAGCGCGCCTGCATGGTACAGAATGTGGTATGTCTATCGAGTCAATCCCATCACATGCAGCTAATCTACAGCTCTCTCTCCTCCACATCCCCTCCAGAGTCAATATCGCTTTGTTTGTGAATGCATTTGTGCTGCCTACATGAAGATCTCGCGCAGCAGCGCGGCCATCAACGACGAAGACGACTAAGGAAACTGCTCCACAACTTATACTAGCGGACAATCTGAATACCAATTCTTCCTCCCTATATATATCCCGCCTTGCATGGCGCTAAGGATTCTTCTCAATCTATATATATATATACTTATCAATCAATCTTATTGTTAGTAAACCCGTAGGCATGCATACATACACCCGCATAAGTATCTATGCTATATATCACTACGTTAATTCTTATCATTATTATTGTCTATATATTTATAAAGTGCGTGTGTGTATGTATGTATAATCAGCTCTGTATATCGTACATCTAATATGTCCATCTATATATACTACTTGGGCAATAATCCACGCAAGTGCTACTGAAACAACTCGTATGAAAAACAATTCTAAATTTTTACAAAACACAAAGCGAGAACAAAACTACCTAATTCACGTATACAAAAGAGAAGCGAATTAAATGAATTGCATATTTATTTATACAGAGAATAACAGAGAAGAATATAAACAATCTATATATATATATAAATATGTGAAAACAACAGCAACAACAAAAACAAATGAGAAGTAAAAACTGTTAGTATTTTAGCACCAAATTTAATTCATATACATATATGTATTTATGCTGAAAATCAGACCTAAATAAATATTACGATTAAACACCTGGAAGAGTTGGAAATAATTATGTTAAGACATGCACTTGCGAGTTAAAAATGTAAAACTTACCTCACCCAGTTAACGCCTCCTGCTATCGATCGATTAGTTGCCCAGATGTAACTAAATCAGGGGACCGATCTCTGCTGAAGCCTGCTTTGATGAGCTCCAGCAAATGAAAGCCCCGGAAATATTTGCTATCAAAAAAAAAAAAAAATATTCGCAGCAAACACAAAACCTTAAAATCTACTGTAAAAAATTAAAATATAAAAAGTCCAATGGAAACCTGTAACAAAAATGGATCCACGGCCGAGGAAGTGGAGGTGGAGGAGACGGAAGACTTTCACGATCTGGAGGAATTCAACGAGGACAACGTGGCCAGTGGCAGCGGGCAGAAGAAGGACGAGCGCTTCGTAGTCAAGAAGTGGGTTGCGCACGCGCATTGGTGCTGGGACGTGGCTGTGGACAACTGCGCCATTTGCCGGAATCACATCATGAACCTGTGCATCGAGTGCCAGGCGGATCCGAATGCGAACAAGGATGAGTGCACCGTGGCCTGGGGCGAGTGCAATCACGCGTTCCACTATCACTGCATCGCCCGCTGGCTAAAGACGCGCCACGTCTGTCCGCTGGACAACAAGGAGTGGGTCTACCAAAAATACGGCCACTAGTCTGATTAGTTAGCATTATTTGTATTTAAGTTGATTCTTTCGCGATAAGATTAAAATTCTATGTATCTAAGTCTATGTCTGCGCCTCCGGCTCCAAGCCGAGCAGCTGCTGGGCTGTGGGTCGGTTGCCCGTTAGATGCTCCAGCTGCTGGAAGAGTGCGTCGCGCTGCTCGGCCAGATTGGCATACTTCTGCTGCAGCTCCTTCTCGCGCTCCATTTGCCGGCGCACGTCCTCCTGCAGCGCCTCGAGGCGTCGCGGCACAGCGATCGCCTCCTGCTCGCCGAGGAAGCGAAACGTGGACAGCGAGAGCGAGTTCTGCTCGATCTGTGCGTAGGTGTCCTGCAGCTGCTTGATGAGCACCTGGGCGCGTGCCTGATAGCCGCCGGTGAGTATCTTCAGCTTCTTCTCGATCTTGCCACAGCGCTTCGCCTCTTTGGCCATGTGACGGCGATTCTGCTCGAGGCGCTTCTCCGCGGACTCCAGGCGATCCTTTTTGCTGGCCAGATTGGCGCGCGTGTAGCGATGCTGGGATGGCAGGTAGAGCACCTGTCCCAAGCACTCCTGCCACACCTGCCCATAGACGTCAAGTGGCAGCTCGCCATGGGACATGCGCTCCTTCACCACCTCCATTTCGTCGGCCAGCATCTGCTTGGCCTCGGCCAGCTCCTCTTGCGATATTTCCTCATACGGATTGGCCTTAAAGTAGCTCTGCAGCTGCTCGAGCTTGTGCTGCGACTGACCAGGCACTGGATCACGCACAGAGTCGTAAACTGAGAGAGAGAAGGAAGTAGGTAAACTCTAAAAGTTATGAGAGGTGTTCGGGGTTACTCACGCTGCATGGTGATCATCTCGTGCTTAATTAACTCCTCGGCCTGCTGCTGCTCAGTGAGGTTTTGCTTCTCGGACTGTGGACGCAGAATCTTCGTGTTCACCTCCGTCGGCCGTGGCAGGTTGCGCTGTATGACCTGGGAGCGCTTGGCCAACTCTCGCTTGCGCTGCGCCTCCTGCTCGGCCAGCATGCGCGCATCCACATCTGCCTGGTCCTCAATCGCTGGCTCCGTGCTGGTCTCCATGGTCTCGCTGTCCTCCTGCTCCGGCACCACGATTTCGTAGTCATTGCGCGGCGTGGGCAGAGCAGCCAGTCCCTCACGCAGCGAGGACTTCAGCTGCTTCTGGTAGTTCTTGTAGACAGCAGGAGTCTCGGTCACGGCCATGCTCTCCTCTGCATTGATGCTCAGCTTGTCGCGCACAAAGGCGGGCGTGGCGCTGCTGCCGCCAGCCGCGCCATTCTTCAGAATGGGCACCATGGCGCCCGAGGCGGGCGTTAGGAAGCCCGCAGGCGTCGCTGCTCCGCCCTCGCGCTGGGTACGGAAGGGCGTGGCAATGACCGTGTTCGGAGTGGCAACAGACGCCGCCTTGGGCAGCGCGCCCGAGAAGTCGGATTCGTGCAGCGGCGTGTTGAGACCTCCCTTTAGAGGCGTCTCTGTGTGTGTGAGCGCCATCATGTTCTGCGCCTCCTGCATTATGCGGTCCGTGTAGGGCGCAGGGGTGCGAGGCGTGGCTGCCACCTGCGGCGTTATGGAATAGTCCGCCAGCAGAGCATCTGTCGTCTCAATGCCACTCTCGCCGGCTATCTCCTTGGCCATCTCGCTGGCCCGACCCAGCTTGACCACCTGCTGCAGCTCCATGTCGGAAATTTGAGGCGTCGGCAGCACGAGCTTCGAGCGCTTGCGCTCCGGCTCTTGGCTCTGCATCATGGCCGACGGCACCTCGTTTTCTTTGCGCTGCTTTAGCTTCTGCTTGTCGCGCTTACGCTCGCGCTCCTCCTTCTCGGAGCGCAGCTCACCATCCAAGTCCTGCTGGCGCATTTTGTTAAAGTCCGGTTCCTGCTTCTGCAGATGCTCTTCAGACGTGTCGTAGAAGCCAATGGCAGGTCGCTTCTCAAAGGGTATTTCCGCATTGTAGTCGATGCCTTTGATGCGCTTCCTGTTGCCGCTGCCAATTCCCGCAGCGCGCAACTCGCGACGCTTTTGGAGCGTGGCCAAACGGCGCGCCTCCTCCAGCTGCTTCTCGCGCGCTTTGCGCTTGGCCTTCTTGCCCTGCGTGTTTGCCAGGCGGGCGCGTGCCTCGGACAACATTTCTAGTTCATCTTCATCCATGTCTTTGGGATCTGGTCGTGCGGGCTTGGTCTCTGGGTTGGGATCAATCTCACCCGGCTTCAGTTTGCGAGGATCGTCCATGGTGTCCTCGCCATCCTCCTTGCGCTGCGCCTGGTCGCTGCAACAGAAGTTATTTATAATACGGATGCAACATCTGGTAGGGCACACTTACAGCAGATACTCGTAGCGCTCCAGGCATTGTGCAGCAGTGCGTCCAATAATTGGCGCAATTGTGCGCCACTGAGTGGGCATCAGTTTGGCCAAATGAAGCAACTTCTCGTCCTCTTCGCGCGACCATTCGGTCTTCTTGATACTCGGATCAAGCCACTCGTACCAGCGCGCCTTGCACTGTTTGGCTGACTTGCGATGCAGCAACGAGGCAATGCGACTCCATTGATTTTTGCCATATTTCATGACAGCCGCCTTCAAGATCTCATCCTACAAAGAAAACTCTTGAGTCACACTGATTCATTTCATTTCTCAGCGCATTGCTTACCTCTGTGTTGCGCCAGACGCCGCCTTTGATCATAATACGCGGCATTTTGTTGTTTTACTTATTTTATAATGGCTATTAAATTAAAATAGAAATTATTCTGCAAACTTTGTCGGCGGCCGCTAGCGATGTGAAATATAGTTCAAACGTTTGAGTTTCCTTGCATGCTGTGTACTGCCAACTATCGATATTTTGATATCTTTAGCAAAAATACTAAAACGTAGATGAGGTCCGCACACACAGTAACTACATGTGACGTCACAACTAACAACTTGAATGTAATTAATGTAATGTAGGATCTTCCTGTTCCAAAAATAGTTGTCACTTGTGCTACAACAATATGGATTTCACTGAAATGAATAAATTCAATTGCAAAGCTATTCAAATCTTCACTAGAATCAAAATATATATATAATTAAAATTATAGGTTATTCATTAGTATGCAAGATGTGTTTCCGATTTATTAGATGCTGATTAGTAATAATTCGGCATAGAATTCAGCTTCAATATAGCTAGCTAATTATTTCAATTCCGAAAGTGAATTAAAACGATTCCTATCGCAGACATATTATCGTGGTATTTCGATAGACTTAGTATTTTTCTATGAGTATCGATGCATTTGTTTTTGTTTTTGTTGCAGTTGTAGTTATCAGATGTTTTGATATGATATCAGATCAGTTACTGCCACAGATTTTGGTCGACTGAAATGTAATGCGAAGTTTGCAAAAATGCAGCTATAAACAATTACATATGAACATTGCAATATGAACGCGGATGCGGATGTGGCTTTCACGAGCTTTTACAGCACCGTGGGAAGCCAGGTGAGCCACGCGTTTGGTTGTATGTGTGTGTTCGTCGATCTGACTTGGGTTTCTTTATTTTGTTGCAGTTGCAGCATGCCGACCTGTCGCTGTCCACGCCCATACACTCGCTGGAGCCCGATAACTTCAGCGGCTTCTTTGACGACGAGTCCGCACTGCTAAGCATTCCATTACCCATAGCAACTGGAGCAGCTGCAGCGAGCAGCCACAAGAGCAGCTCCGCTGGCATTGTCGATTCGCCCTGCATTCCATTCGTACAAATCCATACGACCGACTTGCAGCAGCAGCCTCAGCCGAGTCGCAGCTATCGCAATGGCTTTCGCCGAAAGACAGCGGAGATTAAGTCTGAGGCCGAGCTGATCAAATCGGAGCTGGCCGAGGCGGCGGCCAAGGAGCGCACCAATGCCACGCCCACACCGCCAACAGCAAAGGCAATAGCCAGCGAGAGCTGCCAGTCGGATTTGCCGTTGAACAAATGTCCCAGTTGTCCGTTCCTGAGTCTCTGTCCGCTAAAGACGCAAACGCACATCAGCAGCTGCTTTGGCATAGATGCACAGCATCGACTGCTCTGCCCAGGTCAAGCTCTTCAGCACACATATCTCATATACATATATATAACAGTTTGCTCTTGCAGGCTGTGCGAATGTGTTCTATAGCATAGAAGTGCTAAACCTGCATCTTAGCGCTGACCATCAGCTGGAGCCGCAGGAGATAGCCGCCCTTGCCAAGGCGAATGACTCGTCAGCCAAAAAGCCCCCTCAGCCCATGTCGCAGCCCAAGAGTCGCATCTACATCAAGAATGTCAATTGCCTGCGTGAGCCACAGCTGCCCGACTTTCTGCCCCCAGATGACAATATACTGGATCTACTAGACGATGTGGAGGAAGCTAGCAACTGCTCCAATCCACAACACCAGCAGCAGCAGCAGCAGCCGCAGCAGAGTCAAGTGCTACAGGAGCAGCCCAGTTCAGCTGTACAAAAGATATCTATCAAGAGTGTCGATGTTCTCAGGGAGCCAGCGCTGTTGCCCTTTGATTTTCCCATGCCCAGCAATGAGGCCCAGCAGCAGCAGCAGCAGCAGGAGGTGGAGCAGCTGCCTCCTCTGATGATCAACAACAATCTGCTGGAGAAGCCGCGCCAGCCGAAGATCTACATAAGGAATGTGGACATATTGAAGGAGCCCATGCTGCTGCCAGGCATGGGCTTCGGCAATGCGACCGCCTCGACTGTCGCCAGTCCTGCGGAGGTCTTCAACGCGGAGACACTGCTGACACCAACGGGTGGGCCGCTGCCTGGCTTTGAGCCACTGACCAGCATGTGCCCTGATGCCTTCAGCTTTGACTCTGTACTGAGTGGTGCGAGCGGTGCGGGCCACAGCGCCAGCAGCGGCAGCAGCCACAATTTTAGCGCTCTGGATCTGGACTTCAGCGTGGACTTTGAGCAGAGCGTGCAATTGGCTACGGAGTCCGATCATTCACTGACCAGCGAGCAGCAGCAGCAGCAGCAGCAGCTAACGGAACTGGCTCCTCAGGAAGAGCTCAACCGTGAGCTGGATAACTATTTGCCCCCAGCAGTGCCAGCAGCAACAGCAACAGCAACAGCAGCAGGAACAGCAACAGCTACAGCAACGGCAACAGCAACAGTTGCAGCAACTACCACAGCAACAACAACAACAGCAACCACGTCGAAGCAGAAGATCTTCATCAAGAACGTGGACATCCTGAAGGCGCCTCAGCGTGGCACGCTCCATCTGCGCACCGTGGACGAGCTGAATCTGATGAATCGCAACGAGGTGGAGCACTTGATTGTGCCGAACCGTGAGCCGCTGCCCCTGGAGCTGCCACTGAATGCACCGGCTGTGGCCTTGGAGCCTTCGCTTGTGGACTTGCCGCCGCCTCCTGCACCGCTGAGCTATGACGATGGCTACGATTTGGCCGAGGACCTGGAGTGCTGGCCCTGGATGGATGACGAAGTGGAAGAAGCGGACCCGCAACCCGCGCAGCTGCAACTGGAGCCGCCGCACAACGACCCTCTGGTCAAGGACTTCCCGCAGCTCTATGCGCCGCCAGCCGCCACTTCGGGGCCTGTGCCGCCCCTGGTGCCAGTCACCGGCTCGATTGACGGCGCCGCAAGTGCTGCAGACAGTCTGAGTGGACTGCCAGTGCCGCCGCTGGTGCCTCTGCCCAGCGAGAAGCCCGCTCGCATCTACGTGGCCAACAATTTGCTGCCCACCACTGCTGCCGGGACTGCCGCTGTGGAGCAGCCTCCAGTTGGCGGAACCTCTGTGCGCGGTCGGCCCTATGGCGCCAAACAGGGGGCGGGTCAGTCGAAGCGTCGATTGGGCCAGGGCGCAGCGGCTCAGCAGCAGGAGCCGAGTGGCAAGAAGTGCACCGTCGAGGGCTGCATGTTCCGCTTCAAGTCGCCGGCGACGCTCGAGTACCACGGGCGGTGCCACAATGGAGCCCTGGGCTCTGCCCAGCCCATGATCTGCCCGGAGTGCAAGTCGACGCAGTTCAGCAACTGGAACTGCTTGCACACGCATCTGTGGCGGACGCACGCCATCGACATGGAGCTCTACTGCTGCCAGCTGTGCAACTTCAAGACGCCGATCTACTCACGGCTAGTGAACACCCACGCGAAGATCCACTCCGAGGAGCGCAACTACAAGTGCGAGCAGTGCGGCAAGGGCTTCAAGAACACCAAGCAGCTGAAGAACCATCGGCGGCTGCATCGCACCCAGGGCTTGGGCATGGGTAAGCCCGCCAGCGAGGAGCAGCAGCAGAAGCAGTCGCAGCTGCAGCCAATCCTGCCCGTGCTGCATCGGTGCGAGGATTGCGGAGCTGCTTTCAAGCACCGGAAGACACTGCGCGAGCATCTGTGCAAGCAGCGCAACGAGCAGCCGCAGTGCCCCACCTGTCAGGTAAGCGAGCTGCCATTAGACTGCTCCCACTCCACTCACTCCTGCTTCACTCCTGCAGCGCGTGTTCAGCTCGAAGAGCAGCTTGAAGCTGCACATGCGCAGCCACCAGGCGGACAAGCGGTTCAAGTGCGACAAGTGCGACTACGAGGCGAACGACCACAACGCCTTTCGCCGTCACATGGCCACGCACCGGGAGCAGAAGCGCTATGCCTGTCCGCACTGCGACTTCCGTGCCATCCAGAGCACTGCCTATCGGGTAGGCGCCTCAGCAGTCACCATGGAATGCCCAAATTCACAGCAGATTCTCTCTGTCTCTTCCAGATACACCTGCAAAAGGTGCACCCGGAGCTGGAGCTGTCCGCTATTATCCACAAGTGCAATGCGTGCAAGTTCTCGAGCATCAATCACGGCCTGCTGCTGGTCCACCAGGCCAAACATCATCCCGTCGAGCCATCAACTGCGCAGTCGAATTCCAAGATCAAAGTGAAAAGCAGCCTCTAGCTCGCACATTCCGCAGATGCTCAAAATCCATCGACCTAGACGTCTTATCAAGAACCATATATCAAAATATGTACACTAAGTGCGGGCGCGTAGCTAGTAGAACTTTTATACCAAATTATATATATATACATATATCTGTATGCTAGGTGCATGCATGTTTGTGCACGTAGTGTGCGACGAACCAATGTTAGTTATGTCCAGAAACTGTTGTTAAGTCTGTTCAAGTGAGACGATCCTCGTTTGTGATCTGTGCATGTTTTACATTTACAACCATTTTTATATAGTTCTAAACAGATTCAATTGTATGTTTTATATATACATATATATATATTGTAAGTCATTATTTGGTGTTGTTACTGTAAGTGCGTATATCGTATATCGAACGAAGCAAAGAAAATACAATTCAAATTTCTTATTGTTTTCGAGTCATATCTGATGTTCGCACTGCCCATGGGCTCTATAAATACCCCCCGGTAAAGCGATTCAGATACGCTATGGCAATCTGCGAATCGAGCCAATAAATAATTTCGGTGATTAATTCTTCTGTTTGCGAGGCAGAAATTTGGCAGCAACAGAATTATATTATTGCTTGGACGACTTTTAAAACCGGATGAAATATCTGGGGAACATAATCTCTTATAAATTAAGAGCAAACGAACATCAAGTCCGATATCTCGAATAGTTCCCCATCACAAAACACAGAAAGAAAATCAGTCAATTGTTATGCAGATCATTTAATTGTATTTCATTTCGATTCCTTTTCTATTAGTAAGTCATTCAGTTGCGCCTTCGGCATCTGCTGCGGCAGGCTGCGCGGGTGCAGTAGCGGTTCCTGTTGCCGCCACAGCCCTTGTAGGCCATCTTCTTGCAGGACCGGGACCTGCTGTCATACCACCACATGTTGTCATTCGCGTTCCTGGCGCACGAGCGAGTATTGCCCCTGCCCTCGTCCTTGCCTCCAACACAGTTCCTCAACCGAGAAGCTAAGGAAGTCAAATTCCAGTCAGTTATGGATTGATGACGATGGCTGAATCGATTTACTTACGCAACATTCCCTTGCAAGTGCGTCGTTGAGCCTCAAGCGTGGCCACATACAGGCAGAGACAAGCCAGGAGCAGAATGAATTTCATGTTGATTCAAGTTGAATGTTGAACTGATTTAACACTAGAAACTAGAACTCTTATATACCAGAAAGGAACAATGCACCCAGAGTTTCTGGAAAGCTGTTTTGGCAATTGAATGCAAAGTGAAAACAAAAGCCCTAAACTAAATCCGTACTTATTATGGCATATTTCATACTATTCAGGGCTATTCCTTATGGTAGAGCACGTGCTGGATGGGAAATTGTGATCTGAATAGAACTTGAATATTGCCAAAGGAATGATCCACTTATTTTGTATCATGTATGTATGTAGTATATATAATATCGGTATAAGATATGTATCCATAATACTGTCAAATATTCCAATCTATTACCTTATGTACAGAGGAATCAAATGTGATAATTGATGGTTGTATGTCAATAGTTTTTATTGCATTTTCAAGACCAGCAAGATCACCATCACGGCATATACGGACCAAATAGAACATTCATTAAAGTTGTAACTGGAATTATAAATTATAGACTACAGCTTGAATGAAATAAATCTATAAATATCGACAATATGATCCACATGCGCCCACCTGTGTTCCTTACCAAAACAGAGGAGATCTGCTTCAATAACATACTTATTGAATGATCATGTTGACGATGGTGATGAACAAGATGATTTTGATGGAATCTTGAAAATGGAATTCATATCATTAATATATAGATGTATGATATTGGACGAGATCATAATTACGAATTCGTATTATTCTATATATGATACCAGATGGATATTTTATATTTATTTATAGCCCAAGTAATATATATTTATAAATTATAAAGAATATTCTTTCACAAATATGACATAATATTGTATGTGAATACGCATAAAGAAGTTCGCATTTAGTATAAGGGCTTTTGTTCTCACTTTGCATTCAATTGGCAAAACAGATTTCCACAAACTCCAGGTGCCTTGTTCCTTTTTGGCATATATGAGCTGGTGTAGCTAGTGCTATGAAAGCAGAACCCGATCCTGCAAGAAGATGTCCTACAAGGGCTGTGGCGGCAACAGGAATCGCTATAACGACCGGAGCTCCTGCCTCATGAATTGCACCTGAATGACATACTAAGCGAATGGATTAAATTGAACTCCATTGCAATTTAGATGGGTTTTATTTCAAAGGCTTTGATCGGATTCGAGGCAACCGACAGACGGCATACGACATACGACAGACGGTGCCAGATTAAAGCATTTACCTTGTGCAGAGACAGTTGGCCAGTAATTTAGGCTGTTAAGGCTAGAATTACATTGTTAGTGTTATGATAGTAATTAGGTGGTCGAACACTTGAAATGATTGCTCATTTCAATGGGGGCTGGCGTCAAGTGCACGCAATGCCCCTCACACTACGCACGTCCAAGGATATATAAGGCCATGGTGGACTACATTGATTTGATTCCAACTGTGAAATGAAGAAATTGCTGCGGCTTATTCAACGTGTTTTGCCCTCGAATGCGGCTGAGGGCAGAATCGGCTCCATCGAGCTGAACTTGTGGCTGGCCCACTTGGTAGGTCTGCCCTTGGTGGGGCTGAAGCCGGAGACACCTCTGCAGAAGCTGTGCATCATTGCAGTCGGATATCCCGTTGTGCTTGCCGTTTGGTATTATGTCTACCTGGAGCTATACGACCTCTGCCTCAATTGGCATGACCTGGACGCAATGACACAGAACCTCGTCCTCTCCTTTACGCACGTGGCCTTTCTGATAAAGGTAAGTGTTCCATTAAATGATCAATTGGCAGTACCATAAGAATATTTACATTATACTATCTGCTGTTATCTCTTTCTTACTGAATTCCTTAAGGAATACCTCAAGAGCTGTGCTGCATTTATCTTTGTTATCTACATATTCCCTCTCTTTCATTCTGTTACTCTCAATGTGAGATTTTGATTGACTGGCATATCATGTGCTTTCAGTTCTGCAACATCTGCTATCACTACGGAACCCTTAAGAGCATTTTACAGAAGCTGTCTGAGATCACCCGTCGCTGCGTGCTCTCCGAGCGGCAACTGGAGGCGTTTCAGAGAGCTGAGCTGAAGAACAAATTGGCGAATCTGGCTTACTTTCACCTCGTGCTGCTGCCAGGTATTCTGAGTGTGGTCTACATACTGATCGGTGATCTATCTGGAATGGTACACGAGTGGTTCAAGCAATTGACATGATCTACCTTGCAGCACCCGAAGAGTTTGCAGGAAATCGTTTTCCGTATCGGGCCCAAATGCCCCACTTCCTGCCGCGCATCGTGCAGTCGCTCTACAAGAGCTTCGGTGTTTCGCTCCTGGCGCTGGAGACGACCACCATTGACTTCCTCAACATCTTGGTGATGGGGCAGATATGCATGCACCTCCAGGTGCTCAGCTTGGCCTTCGAGAAGCTGCACGACAGCAGCGCCGTCGACGCCTACAGCTGGCTGGTTGCCACAGTCAAATACCATTGCGAGTTGATTCTGTAAGCAGAGAGACGATCTCTATATATGCATATATATATGCAGTTATTTATAGCTATATATTCCGAACAGTCTGCGCCAGCAAGTGGAGCGCATCTTCAATCTGGCTGTGATGCTGCAGTTCGTTAGCTCCGTTGTCATTGTGGCCATGACCGCCTTCCAGGTCATCGTGATCGGCGACGGCTCGAAGAGCTCCATGATAATGAACCTGATGCTCTGCTGCGTGCTCTGTCAACTGTTTCTGTACTGCTACTTTGGCAACGAGGTGTACGAGCACGTGAGTCTTATCCACAGAAATAAGCATATATATATATTTATCTCTCCCCCCTTCTCTCTTTCTATACTTTGCCTTGCAGAGCAAATCCCTCTCCAGCGCTGCCTTTGGCTGCAATTGGTATTCACTCGACCGGAGGTGCAAGAAGACCTTGTTGATTTTCATGGTAAACGCGGATCGTCTATTTCTGTTTACGGCTGGCGGCTTTATGGGTCTCACCTTGCCCAGTTTCACTTATATCATAAGCAAGTCCTATTCCCTTGTGGCGGTGCTCAGGCAAATGTACAGCAGGTCTTAGAGGAGCTAATGGAGAGAAGAGGATTGGAGAGGGGTGGGCAGAGAGGGAGTGGCATTTCAAGCACCTATAGAATATAATCACATAATTATGGAACCATTAAAATGTCATTAGCTAATCAAATTGAATATTCTATGCACGCAATGGGTTAAAGGTGTTAAAAGGTGTCATTACATCATTATATCACAGCCCTATTCCTTATAAGTATATAAATAGAAACGAAGTATATGATATGTTCCAGAAATATGAACAAGGAACTCGTTAGCTTTGATCAATATATGTATAATATATCGAAGAGTACGCTGTGTGCCATTCCATCGGGGCAGAGAGAACTTGGTGTAGATGCTCGAATCGGAGAATCGAACTGGAGCTAAAAGACGCAAAGAATCCGCAGACGAAGCAGAATCGAGCGACGCAGACTCGATGATTGGAGTGGATTTAATGAAGATTTAATGAGTGCTTGCGGAGTGCAGCTTATACACACATACAAACACACATACATATGTACAAGCATGTATAGACATATGTATATGTAAAACTGAATCAACTAATTATGTTTGTTTTTTATATTTCCACGATATTGTGCAGATGGGGTATAGAGTTCGTTTATTGCGGAATTCCATTAAAATCAATTGAAATTATATTTGATGCCAGATTTTCCTTTCAATTCATTTCTATTATTCAGGAATATATTCAAATGAATGAAAAGCGCGCGAAATGAGCAACTGTATTGTTTGATATTTTGGTTTTCTTTGTTTGTTTTTTTTTTATGAACGTTATTTTAGATGAATGTAGTATATGCTATATAGATATTTTATAGATCCCATATGGGCAACAGAAGGAAAAATAGTCGTTTGCTTGAATTTATTTTAAAATTCTGCATGATTATGCATTGAAACTAAGAGCACATATAAATAATCAAAGACCAGCTGAGAGAATAGACAAATTGTTATTCTGACAGAGCACACAAGGAAATAGAAGCGTGGGAGAGAGAGAGAGAGAGAGCAGATGAGGGTCTGCTCCAGTTTGGCAACAGACCCAAACTTAGCGTCAAATGCAAAGCAAAGTGGTTTAGTAGTGGCGGTTGAAGAGCAACAGTTAACCATAAAATCAACTGCTTAAAGCTTGAACGCCCACAAGAGAATGAAAAAGAGAGAGAGCGAGTGAGTGTATTGGGCATAAGTTTCGCAGCCGTTTTCAGTATATGAATACCGTCATAAGCCACCAGAGGCGAACGCCACAGGCCTCTCGAGGCTCGCGAAGAACAATGACATCGGCTGAGGCCCAACAGCGAAACAATAAACATGAATTGTAATGTTCTGTATATCTATATATGTACAAATATATACAATGTATGTACTCTTTGATTATATTTATATAATTTTAAATTTCAAGCACGCGCCAAGCGCGAAGAGTTTGTTATTTACTTTGGCAAAGCCTTTCTCACTGACAGCCACAATCCACTCTCCTCCCTCTCTTTCACTAAGCTCATCTTTATATGTATATGCAAACATTAATTTACTCAGCGCGTTGATTCCCATTTTATCTCTTTGAAAACGAATCATTCTTACAAGTCTTACAAATTGAGAACGAGCATCTTATAAGTCTTAAAAATTTGAAAATTAAATATCGACTTTCGATTAATGAATGTTAGCAACAAAGCTCTAGTCGGTCCTACCGCAACCCAAACTACCATTTTAAGTATATTCAAAACAATTGGTATAATCACAACAGAATTCAAGCAATAAATTATTTGTAGTCCGGTCAACGTTGTATGAAAACAAAAATAATGACAAAACAAAACTTTCGCTTTCTGTTATTTGTTTACTTACCTCCTCCTAAAGCGAGATAGAGGATGAGAATAAAGAAACAAGAAAGCTTAGTCGAACAACATCGAACAATATTATGGTATATAAGCTAACTTTTATGTATATCGAATAACTATATACAAAACAAGTATCTATAGGAACTATATAATTTATAATAGTTACAGAATTCAATTAGTATTAACTATGCTTCTGTATACATTTATATGATGACTGTATGTATGTATATAACTTACAGAGCTCCCCTCGATAGAGAGCAACAGCAATCGCACGCAAAGTGCGTGACTCGCGACGCTCTATGCTTGGGGAGACGTTGCGGCTGCGTGAGTGCTGGCAGAGAATTGCGGACAGTCTCCGCTTGCAGAGAGCTGAGAAACAAAAGAGTGCAACTGGCGTCATTTCAAGGCAAAGATCAATGTTCGCGCGGCGGCTGGCGCTTTAATTCGCAATTCAGTCTAGAATTCGATGCCGACGAAGAGAAACGTCGCGCGCCTGGTCGAAGTAAATGCGATTAGTTAAACTGACGTCACTTATTGGTCACATTTGTTGTATGTATGTATGTATATGACGCGCTCTCAACGATCGAATGTATGGCAGACAACTCAGCCGGTAAAAAGCAGACGCAGCGTCGAGAGAAGTGCGTATACAAACTAGGACTGTCGAATATTTTTAAAATACCGTTTCGATGATATTTTAAGTTTTGAAAAATATCAATATGATATTTGATATGCAACTTAAAAAAAATTCGATATATCAATATAAAATTTTGTTTAATCAAATTAATAATCCGTTCCAAAAAACAAAAATAATAAGAATTATTATTTTTATCGGTACTCAAAAATAAAAAAAGACGCATTCTGTGATATGAGTTTCTGTACCAAAAGTATTCCTGGAGTCAAGCATCAGAAATTGCATTGTCTCAGAAAGAGAACAAAAGAAATGAGTTCATCTGAACAAATATGTTTGTGATAGACTTCTGGCTGACTTAACCATATGTTCATTCGCTAAACAAAATAATCTTATAAGCAGCACAAGAGAGCTCTGATAAATACGCATGAGCGACATTATTCCCTGAGACGATAAGTTTCGTTGCTAAGAATTCGCAAACTTCTAAAGCACTCGCTCTAAAGAGAGAGCAGTGACGATACCGAAAGTTTGCAAATATTCAAATTCAAGATATACAAAATTCCGAATAGACAAAAATACCTCCATGTTGTAGCTTTTATCCATACAAATTAGTTTACCATTTGGAATGTGCGAAACTCTGGGCTTATCTGCAAATAAACTCATTTATTTCTATATGTAGGAGTAGTTTAGCAATTTTTCTAGGAATTGATGGAGGTTATTTAATTTTCGCAGAAACCAAAGCTGTTGATTGAGCACGGCTGTTGGAGAAAACTATCGACTATTCGTGGAAGCATAGCGCGTATTGAGAATGCGTCTAATGGGTCTACTGATAATGCTGGCAACCGCCGGGATAGCAGCTGCCGAAATACCGGGATGCGATTACTTCGACACAGTGGATCTGTCGCAGAGCGAGCGGCTGCCGAATGGCTCGTATCAGTATGAGAAGCTGATCATACCGGCAAGTCTGGTTGGCGAATATGACTACGAGATACTGGAGAAGGGCCACAGGGAGTCTGTGGCCAGGCATCTCAGAGGCTGTGCCTGCCACCTGGGCACCTGCATTCGGTTCTGTTGCCATCGGAATCTGTTCCTCGTTGACGGCGAACGCAAGTGCGACGGGGACACATCGAAAGCGATCGAGTTCGATCCCATTATCAACATCACGCTGAACGATGGCACCCAGGTGAGAAGACACGTTTTGCGGGACTTTATCATACAACAGGATCTGCCCGTCCCATGCGCCTCACACTTATATCTGGATGCGGAAAACGACGAGAGTCATCAGTGGACCCTCTTTGAGGTTTGAGAGAAACTGAAATCAAAATACTCTGCTCACTGTACCCATTCTTTTCCCGCCCCATTCACAGAACGGAGTGCTACGTCGTCAGTTCGATGATGCTGAGTTGTCTAAGCAAGCGTATTGCCTGCAGCCCCATAAGATCGGAACGGAGGACAGCGACGAGCAGTACACTCTGGTGCCCCACAACTGTGCAATCGAGCCCCCGAGTCAATGGTTAATTAATACTCGTAAGCCTAACGCCGAGAGAGCTCGAACGAGCTGATCTAAATGGTAGCTCACTGACAGATCTGATAGAGCTGTCGATCAGTTGTCGCTCAGAGACCTTGACCTGCCCACAGATTGAAGGAGGCCCTAACATTTCTCTGATCTTTGAATCTTTGCAGTGCGTATGATTTCGATCGTATGTTTGTTTCTCACAATCTGCGTTTACCTCTACTTGCCAAAGCTGCGAAATCTGCACGGGCTGTGCTTCACATGCTACATGATCTGCCTGATGATGTCATTCGCATTGCTCCTAGGCGATTCCTGGAAGGAGGGCTGGTCGAAGAGTCTCTGTCAGGTGAATGGTGGGTAGAGCCCTTTAGCACCAGGCGAATGGGGCAGTCCTCAATAGACTTCACATTTCAGGTTATCTCGGCTACTTTTTCGTCATGGCCAGCTTCCTGTGGCTAACCGTGATCAGCTATGACCTGTGGAAGAGCTTCCGCACCAACAGCTGGCACGTTCCCCGACACACGTTCAACTACCGCTTCCTGCTGTACAGTCTCTACGCATGGGGTGTTGCGACCCTGCTTACCATTATTGTGATAATAGTCGATATGTCGTGGGATGGCGAAGACGAGGAACAACTTCTCTGGATACCAGGAGTTGCTGTCTACAATTGCTGGGTGAAGGGTACGATTTAACGAACGACTAGTTTCTCGAATCTGAAGCTGTTATCGAAATATCCCTTCTTGAAATATTCTCAGCTCATGATTGGTCCGCAGCGCTCTATTTCCATGGACCGATGGCACTGCAAATCATTTTCAACATCGTCATGTTTGTACTCACTGTAAGTCAGACCAAGTTTAATTATTCTTAGACTCAGAATATCATGACGGGACATTTTTATGTTCCCTAGCTTTCTTAGACAGCCAATTCGACCGGAAAAAGTCCTTCTGCTGGTAATTTAAGAGGATAATGCTTTTGTCTGTTTTTTTTCTTGTAGTCCATTCGCATTCTGAAAGTGCAAAAAGAACTGAAAGACGTTGCGGTACGCGGAGAGCCTCAGCAGCGACTCGATTCGAATAAGCGCACGTAAGGCGATTGATATATGCATAATTTTAATCGATAAATATCGGCGCCACTTCTATCCACGCAGGTATACTCTGTTCGTGCGCCTCTTCGTTATCATGGGCGTTACCTGGACTTTCGAAATAGTCGTATACCTAGTGCAGAACAATGGGCCAGTGTTCTCGGTATTGCAGGTCTTCGATTACATCAATAGTGCACAGGGCGTCATAATATTCATAATGTTTGTGTTGAAGCGAAGTGTTCTGAAGCTCATCTCAAATCGGTAAGTATTCAGAGAAAGCGAGAGAGCGTAAGATATATGAGAGTGAGATACGTCTTCTGTCACATTTATAACTGGGCTCATTATTCTATGGTAAAAGAATTCAAGGCATTGAAGACGATGCCAGCGACACTGAAGAGGAAATTGCTCTCCAAGATCGGAATGGAGGTGCCAATAAGATCGGTCCGCAAATCTTGAATTAGGTAAAAGAAAACAAAAATGTTTCAATTGGATTCTTAAATAACATGTTGGTGTTTCTTTTTTACTTAAAATTCGTTTGCACTAATTTGATTGTTTGCTTGTT